CTATTTTTAATTTCTGCAGAACTACACCCACCATCTGTATCACTGCACAGAAGGAAGCGTGCATCAACTCTGGCTGAGAGGCTCGTGCTCTAGACAGCATGAGATGTAAACATTAATGGCGTCCTCATCGGCTGAGCTGTAATGTTAACTGGTTCAGTGGTGATAGGTGAGCTACCACTAAAAGCACACTTCCTTCTGAGTAGTGATACGGTTGCTGGTTGCAACACGGCCTCATTCTGAAGTTGGTGAATACCAGCACTTGGGCAGTGACTTGCGGTGTTAGACACTGACGAAAAAAGGCGTCCTTTGACACCAGCATGATACGTGGCTGGTCGCCATTCTTGTGTAAAGGTGCCCGGCCTATCAGGGGGAAACACGGCCAGACAACAACACAAGTTATGGGGGTGAAAGTCTGATAATAAACATAACCATGTGCTTTTGTTTCTTAAACCCAACCATGTGCGTGTGTTGTTGAAGGAAAAAAATGTCATGATGTAGTGTGTTTGGAGACTGTATGCAAACAGTACATTTCCTGTGAAAACGCAAGTGTATTTTGAAAACACACAATGCACATAACAGGCTGAAGTTGACAGGGGGTCCCAGAACATCAACAACCAACACACCCAGGGTACCTTGCATGTCATATGTTGGCCTGGAAAGTCCATGACTGAACATCGTTAAGTGACAAGGTTGGGGTGGAAATGTGTTGCAGGGTGCAGTGCAATAAAAACAAAATTGTTCCTATGTGAAACTACTCACAACAAGGTCTGTGGATATTGAGTGACCAGGTTATAATTTCTGGAAAGGACATTGTTGTTGAGTTTTTCAACTTTTTTTTTCTTTACGCTTTGAGTACCACAAGCCGAGTGCCATCTTATTCCATAATATATATCCAGAGCAGGCAGACATCTCTATGGCCGATATCTCCAGCACTTGAAATCGCACACCAAAACAATCTAGATTGTTAAATAGCAATATGTAAATATGTTAATATATATTTTTGATTTGGGTGTGAACTATCCCTTTTTAAGTCAGATCTGAGTGAAGGCTGTGTTGGATTTTAGACTTTACCACGTTGAACACCACTAAAGGCCTGTGTGGATGGACAGGTCAATGATTACCCACCATGAGATATACTAATGTTCATATCAGTTATTAATGATTATAAAGCTATTACGTTTAATATTTGACTTTTAATTGACTTAAAACTTAACTGTACTAATATGTTCAGTTATTGGATATCCCTTCGCTGGTTATTTGCAGGTTTCTTGTAAAAAATATTTAAAAAGAAATGTTATTAGAAAATCAATTGTTAACAAAGTGGGACCACCTCAGCCAGTTTTTTGTTTAGTTGGCGTATGAGAAAATTACATACAGCAGAGTCTTTACATTTTCTGAAATTTGATATTCATGATTATGTAAAGAATTCAGCACACATTCAATACATAAACATTTACATTAAACATTAATTCAGTACACAAACATTGTATATAACATTCCGAAGAGTGTCTCTGACAGAGCAGGCCACAGTCCAGCAACTCTGACAGTCCAGTCTTGATTTGGTCTATGCAGGATTATCATAGCAGCTGTTAACTCACCACCCACAGATCCCTCTTGTCAGATCTCTCTTTCTACCTTAAAGTGGCTTTTGAAGATTTTAGTCCTGGTTGATTTGGCGACACCTGTAGTTACTGGTGATAACAGCAAATGCAGTTTAATGCCACAGGTCACAGAGTTCTGGGGTCAGCAAAACAAACTATTCTTTTAATTAAGAAGTCAGGCAATAATTGGCCTTTTTCTATCATTCTGTGAGCAACAGTGATCTGATTTCACGCTTCATACAGCATGAATCAGGCAGCAGGGCACAGTGAGAGGAGTGGGTTACCACGCTGAGTTGGAGGGGGCTAACCTGTCGCCTGCAGGCAAGGATGTAGGTTTCACTTCAACATTGGGAGGGAGACATATGAAACTAGGGGTTTGAGGTCCTCTACCATGAAATTTGGAGCATCCAACATTTAATTTCCTGCATTCTGGTGAATTTTTCTGCATCAGTTTATGGTACAAATGTCTTTAATTTCGTCAAAATAAAAGTTCTTTGCTTGTTTCATGTTTTTATAGACAGAGACAAATGCAGACATTCTAAATATTAAGGAAGACGTGTCCCCTGCATCCCTACAAAATCTATGTCTATGCCTGCATCTCCTCATTTAGCAGCTCACAGTGGCTGCTCCTTCTTCTTCCATTACTCCCTGCAATATTTCAACCTGATCCGCTGTCACAAGAAGCCGAAAATGACTGTTGTCTTTGTTTCGTAGATGCATTTTTGATGAATGATGGCGGTAAATGCAAAGCTCGCTGAAAAACACATTGCATTTTCTGTGACCTTCATAATAAAAGTCAACTCAAGTTTCTCCGGTTAAATGATTTTAATGTAAAGCTGCAGGAAATGTTGGTTAACAGCATTTTTTTATGCACCGACTGTCACCCACTTCATAATACTGTAAATATATAAATGTTACAATGCTTTCATCAGTGGGCCATAGGCTCAGTCACCATTGTGTTACCTTAGTCAGCAAGAGATAATGACTAAGTAGATGTTTATTTAAATGAAAATCGTTGAGATTATTGCTTTATATCTGATTGATCATCTCAATGTATAATTAGCAGGCCTATGCGGACTGGAGTGGCCTATATACTGTATAACTGAGATGAAAAATACCCATCCTTTTATTTGTTACTTTGGCTCTTAATCACTTTTTTCATATTGCAGTGAGCAGAGTGAGGTTTGATAAATCCTGCAGAGGGCCTTTTTCCCCGACTCTTTTGAGCCCTTTGGACTTTAACTGGAGTGCAGTTTCCCTTGTTCTGTTCAAATTGGAGCATATGCACCTGCTGCCATGCATTCACCATATAGGCTCAACAGTTCTCAGGGGAGCACTGCATACTCTGAATTTACTCAAGCACAGCAGACAAAAATCTAGCAGCCCTGATCATAAAAAAAAGGAATCACCTTAGTCTCAAGTCCAGACTGTGGGAGAGTCAGCAGGGCCCGAGGATCCTAAACTGCACTGCAGTGGGGCATGAGACAAGACTTTGCTCTGTTTTAAACTCAAAATAATCCCTGACAGCTAACGTGTAGTAGCAGAAAATACATTTACTCAAGTGCTGCACTTAAGTACAATTCTGAGGTGTTTGTTCTTTACTTAAGTATTTCCTGTTACTTTATACTTCTCCATTACCATGCAGAGGAAAATGTTGTACTTTATACTAGCTTTACTTATTAGTTACTTTGCAGTAATGCATGCAATATTCTGAATTGAACTTAAGATAAAACTTAACAGGGGTTAAATACACATGTCACTCAGCCGATAAAGTAACTAAAATTAGCTCCACCTTTATCACCTTCAACATTAACATGATGTAAACATTATTGCATCAATAATCGTAATCTGTTCATATAATATGTATTATTCTGAAATTCACCATGCCTACTTTTGCTTATATTTTGATGCCAATACTTTTGTACTTTTACTTAAGTAAAAATTTAAATGCATGATTTTTATTCATAACAGAGTATTTCTACTTTTTTAAGTACAAAATTCAAGTACTTCTTGTATCTCTGCGAACATGCAACACAAACCTGAGCATTAGTATCACCATTAGCAGTTAAAATAACCTGTTGCAGTCTGATTAAGACAGAGAAGTGAGACAGACGTGAAGACAAGAGCTGTACATTACGTCCCATGTGGAAATTTTTCTTTCCTCGGCGTGACTCAGTCAGTGTCATTCTTGTAGAAAATCTCAACTGCATTGGAGTCACCGTGTTTGGGATCTGATAAGCATTGTGAAATTGATTGCCTCCTTTCAATCTGCACATAAAAACACGTGCTGGTGTGTTTTTCTCAGCCTGAAATACAGCCAAGGTCAGATTTGGAGTCATTAGCCTGCCTTTCACTGTGTGCATAAATCACCGTGGTGTATCAGTAATAAGGAAGTTTACCTGTTAAGAGGACTTTTAAAGGCACTTTAGAAGTCATGCGGCTATAAAGAAGTGCCTCTGGCATGTTCCTGTAATTCATGGTCTCATATTAACTCTCATTTTCCTCATGAATACAGCCATTTCTTCTGTGTTAGTTGACCCATGCACCAGGTTTCCCTGTTAACACGTTGTGGCAAAGAGAATTATTAGAGATAACATTTATTTTATCAGTTATATACTGGACTTTTATGGGCCCGGCTTTACTGTAAGATTGATTTCCCTGCTGTTATCACATTAGTTCTATTGATTATATCCTATTTCTTATATATACGTTATGAAATGTGTATTTTTCTATCATCCCATATTAGCTTTTCCTTTTTTGCCACGGTTATGAAGGAGCTGTAACCTTGAAACTTTTCCTCCTCAGTTTTATTCTCCCAGTAATGGGAACTTCCATGAGGATGTTTCCCGATGATTCATCCAAGAGGCCCAGAGGTCTGAGGAAATACTATCCATAGCCCCATAAACGGCAACCACAGGACAACATGTGCTGTTGCCCTGCACTTCAGACAATAATATTAGTAATCAATTCTCTAGAACTAAGGCAATGAGCGCCTTTATCTCTCGTTTGGCGTTTATGACTTGGTTAATCGTTAAGCAATGCCTTTGTGTCCCCTAGGATGGAGCAAGGACATATCTGACACCCCTCGTTCAGTTTTCTGAGGGTTGATCCAAAGAGTTAGCCAATAGCTGGCAGCCAGTATATGACCCTGGGATGCAGGGTATAAAGGAAGGCCATCTGAGACAAACCGAGCTTATGCACAAGAAGCTCAGAGCAGTGGAAGAGATCTCTATAAATCTAATACTAGCCTAGTCTATACATCAATAAACAAGGACAGCCACGGCGGTTGCTGCAGTGCTCTGCTCTTTTAAAACACCGTCAGATGACTGAAGACTTAAGACCCACACTGCTGTTTTATCCTTGACTGTTTAAATTGGAGAATCTCCTTCAGCATTCCTGATGGAGAGGCTCAAGTCAAACGGAGAGGGGCATGTTAACTCCGCTTATGATGCCACTCTGGATGGACCTCCTAACTATCAGGAGACCAGCTTCTCTAATGGGGAGCACAGGACAGTGCGGCCTTCAGTGGCCAGCGCCTTTGGTCATGACACTTTGGACCGAGTGCCCAACATTGACTTCTATCGCAACGTGGGCAGTGTGAGTGGTCACCGGGCCGTGCGACCATCCCTGCAGGAGCTCCACGATGTGTTTCAGAAGGTGAGTGCATGTATGACTCTGAGAGTGGAGTCTGCAAACATTAATGATACAGTTCCCCTTTTACTTCTTGTTCTTTTCTTGTCTCTCCCCTGCAATACACGGCCTGCATGTTTGTCCTTCACCTCACCTTCTGCAGAAAGTGCTTTACACCTGTTTTCCTCCCAGAGTCCCAAATTCAAGTCACCGATTCTTTAACTGCAGTCTCCTGTTCTGCTCCTGACCTACACAGTCCATTCGCTCAGGTTAAAGACTCAAAACAGAGTGAAATGGGATCTTTTACAGTTGTTTAATCATTCAAACATCATCTCTTTCAGTGTCCGCAGTTCAGTCATTAAATCTTTACCCAAAGACTTGTGAAACTAAAAAGGACACCGAAAGTTATTTCTGGAGCTCAACGACAACTGACACACTTTAGTGCCGTTTTATTAGGCCATTATACTGCCTTGTGTTGCAAAAGAGATGGGGTTATAGGTAATTTAGGTTTTATAGGTTGAACTAGATAAGTATTCTAACACAAAACAGACAAATGAAAAAACCTATGTGTTTTTCCAGATTAAGACTGATATAATGCTATTTATCAACAGATCATCACTGTCTTTACAAAAAGATAAAATGTTTCATTCATCTTGAAAGACTAAATATAGCTGACTCATAGTTTTGTTGCCAAGAATAATAATAATCTGATTCATTAATTAATCTAAAAATATTTACCTACTCTTTACACTTTCAATAAATTAATGACCCTGACATGGTGTTCAAGTAGTCTGAGATTTGAAAGACTCAATGAGATAATTTGCTCTAATCACAAACTCCATGGCACTGCAGCTGAAAGGCTGACAAGTCGTCGCAAAAATCTCTTTCTTTCAAATAAATGAAACGCATCTGAGAGGTCTCACTTAATCAGATGTCAGACAGGAGAGTCATTTAGCAGTCAGTATTCATCTTCATAGAAAGTTAAAATTAGGTTTGTCTTGTTCTCTCTATTTTTCTCTTCAGTTTACAGAGACAGACACACGGCAGCATACTGTCGCAGCTTTATCAATCTTCATCCAAATCAAACCACTGTGGATTCCTCTCCCTCTCTAAGTTCTCTCCTGTGTGTTACAGAGACAGCAGCGGGAGAAAGTCAAACACACAACTATATGAAAAGTCAGTCTGTATCTCATCATGAGAGAACAGAAAACACTCTGCGCCAGAGAAAGCAACTTCTTATTAATGACACGTTTGTTTTTTTTTACAAGTGAAAAATGTAGTCTACATTTTTAGCCTACTGTGCAACAAGCACCATCGTCATGATGAATACACCCCAGTTGTGTCTATTGAGACAAATTTACATGTTTCCATTTTCCCCACAGAATGGAGCCATCTCTGTGCCAGACACTGTGGAGGACGATGGCGAAGGGAGTGACGGGACCCCCTCTGATGATCTGGAGTCTGCTGTCCCCGTTGATAGCAACAAAGGAGTAGTAAAGTTTGGCTGGATAAGGGGCGTCCTGGTGAGTTATGTTGGGTCATGGTGGGATCCCTCTGCTTTATAGAAGCAGTATCGCTTTACATAACTGTGACCTGGCAAAAGGAGGCTCGATAGTGGGGCTTTCAATGCCAGAGTCTGGGGTGATTTGCATTTGCTAAAGAGCTGCTGGTTTATCATTTAGGCTGCTGGCATGAAGATTTAAAAAAGGCCCTGAAATGTTGTTAATGCTGCTTAATATTTTTTAATTGAGTTACATTTTTTTTGGAATAGAAAATATGGATAAATGTCTTTATGTTCAAGAATGCATGTCATTAACATTAGCATCTTTCTATCCCTTACTTGACACAATAATAAATCATGACCCACCACACTGAAGACTTTGACCTCACGTTTTTCTTCTCTTCCACAGGTGAGATGCATGCTGAACATCTGGGGTGTCATGTTGTTCATCCGTCTGTCCTGGATTTTTGGTCAGGCAGGCTGGGGTGAGTGAGACAAGGGTATATGTTGGTCAGACAGGACACACATGGCTACCTTCTTCTATTTATTCTCATGTGCTCAAAAAGGAATTCAGTGTTATGAATTCACCTCTTGAAGTGCCTCAAAGGCATTTCACTCTTAACATGTACTGATGTAACAGAGCCACTGTAGCTGGCACCATCAGTTAGAACATTATAGCCTTTTTATTCTTAATACTGCTCAAGGGAGGCTGGGAAATGTTGCTTAAAGGGTGACTTTGGTATTTTTCAACCTGGACCCTATTTTCCCATGTTTTTGTGTCTAAGTGACTAATGGGAACAACAGTTTCTGAAACTGTTCCAGTTTTGAGCAAGAGAGCTGCAGTCTGCAGCGGTAAAACAGGCTGCAATAGGACCACTCAGGACATATGCACCCTAAATTTACATCCACTAAAAGTATTTGTTTTTGGCACTGACAGGTTTGGATTGCTATTATAAGTGTTTGACAACATTATTATTATTTTTTAAGATATACTGTACATTATTAATCCCCATTGGGAAATACATTTTTTCAGTCTGTTGTCATATACACACACATGCACAAACAGGACCTATACATGCATTAAATGGAAAGATGTCAGAGTCAGGGGGCTGCCCATTGACAGGCACCACAAGCAGTTGGAGGTTCATTGTCTTGCTCGAGGGCACCTTGGCAGTGCCCAAGAGGCAAACTGGCACCTCTCCAATTACCAGTTAACACTCCATATTTGGTCCAAATGGGGACATGAACCGGCAACCCTCTGGTTCCCAAAGCAGGTCCCTGTGGACTGAGCTATGGAAAGAATCCAAACAATAACCTACAGGGCTAAAAAATAATGAACCCAACATGGAAATGCCAAGAGCTGCAGTTCTTTGAACGGCCACTGGAGGCAGAAATAAACATGTGTACAGTTCATGACAGCTGTGCATGTGTGGGAATTTTTAAATAACTCACTCATTCACTCAAGGCTTCAGAACGAAAGTCCACAAACCAGTGGGTGACGTCACGGTAGCTGCATCCATTATTTTTACAGTCAATGACAGGATCCCTACAGAGATAGACCTTTTTGTTAAAAAGCAAGATCCTTTTGTTGAACCAGAAACAGCTCCAAAAATGCTATCCCCAAACCAACCAGACAGCATCCAAATAAGAAATCATTTTATCATTGTAAAACACACGCCATTCAAAGTCAACAGAAACAAAATAAAACTCACAAAAGCCATCTTGGTTCATCTTTCCACCCTTCCAACAATCACCAACTCTGGTTTGGTTGAAATTAACTCTTAACTTAACCAGTTGAATATGAAAATATGCTGGCTTTGTACACGCTAAAATTACTGTTAATTTAAAAAGGAGTCTGGTGGGTTTGACAATGGTGATTTCAGGGCTGTTTCTGGTTAAACAAAAAACTCCACTTCTGTAGCGATCCTTTCCATAATGCTGCCAAACACTTTCGATAACAATTTGAGTCTGTCAGTGGCAAAAACAAGCACTTCTAGTGGATGTAAATTGACGGTGCATAAATACCCCAAGTGGTTATATTGCAGCCTTTTTGCCAACACTGGCTGCAGCCCTCTCGCTCACTGGACCAGTTTCAAAATGTGCTGTTCCCATTTGTCACTTGGACACAAGATATGGGAAAATGGGGTCCATGTTGAGAAATACCAAAGTTTCCCTTTATTGTGTGCTTCAAATAAAGCATTATCAACCATTGGTGAACCCAAAGAGGATTCCCTCAGGTGGAGCGGGTTATTTTCAGGTTTCTAATGTTATCTGGAGCACCAGCAGACAGATCCCACGTCTCTGTTTTTGAGAAATGAGGGTGCTGTTACCAGTAATTCTAGCAACTAGAGACAATTAAAGGATTACAGTCCTCCACTCATTAGCAGTGAGTGATTGAATTGGGACAGATTCAACTGAACGAGCCTTTCTGTGGTCCCATAATGATCTAAACTTGCTGAAGGTCTAGTAGGAGAGCCAAACCTCTGTGTGTGTCCGTGTGTGTGAGAGAAACAGGGAGAATGGGGAAAGTGTGTCAATGGCTTCATGAGTGTGTTCACTGCTTAAGAACCTATCGATCCGCAGCAGCTTTTGTTCAGGCAGCGTAACTAAATGGTTTTGAGAAGCAGAAAAAAACGCTGCAGGCAGTAGGCAGAGCAGGTACAGCAGACGGCTGTAACTTATAGCCTCCGGGCTCCACTGGCACGTGGACGCTCAGTGTGTTTAAAGGTGACTGTGGGGGGGGTTTCATTTCACAATCAGAATGTATGATGACTGACCACTTAAATATAATGCCTGAGTAAGCTGTAGTTGGAATCATTTTGAGCCTGTATATGTTGTATGTGTGCATTTCAGGTCTGGGGATTGTGGTCATTGTTCTCAGCTGTGTTGTCACCACCATCACTGGCCTTTCCATGTCTGCCATCTGTACTAACGGTGTGGTCAGAGGAGGTAAGATTGTCAACAACTCATGATGAGAACATTCGCAAACCTTTCATGCAGGCATTTAGATACTTACAAAGAGCCGCTGCAGCCGGCTCCAACAGTTACATTATTTATAAATATATATAGCCCAAGATAACACACACACACACACCCTGACATAAAATCTTTTACCGAGAGAATGGAATGGCCAGGAGGGCAGCTTGTGCAGATAAAGACACAAGGCTCAAAACTGCACCTGAGTGTCACCTCTCGAAGCCCTCTCTCTGTTTTACAAAGACTTCAACTTGTCCTGACATTAAATCAATGAATCAGTGATGTAGTGATTAATCATCCACCACTGTTACGTATGTGTGTGCTTCATTTTGTGCTTTCAGGAGGAGCCTACTACTTGATATCTCGCAGTTTGGGACCAGAGTTTGGCGGGTCAATTGGTCTAATTTTCGCCTTTGCCAATGCAGTGGCTGTAGCCATGTATGTGGTGGGATTTGCTGAGACTCTGGTCGACTTGCTCAAGGTGTGTGACGCTGTAATCCTGAGGTGACTGTACACTGTAAACCTCAATATGCTCACTCACCCTTTTTTTTGTTTTTTTGGAACAGCTTGTAATTTGTACAATGCAGTAACATAAACATGTCACACAAGGCAGGAATTTTATGTCATAAGTTTGTTGTTGTTTGAACATTCAATTCTATGTCATATAACCATAAAAACTTTGAGTACACATTTCATAACATTTGTTTTAATTCAGTTGAACTACAAAAACATGTTGTGGTGAGCTTAGACTTCTCAATTGCAAGAAGAAGGCAATGAGATGAATCCTGAGCCAGGAAGTGCTCTGTATTTCACCTCAACACAACTTTATGTCCAACACTCTGATATCCACACAGGCAGGAGGTCACTGACTGTGTTTACGACTTAACTCATGGTGCTGTTACCACAACATTAACTGTAACCCATTAGAACCATTGTGAAATACATAAACATTAATCCCTGCTTAATGGGTAACGTGACGGAACACATTTAAATATAGTTTTCTTTGATATATGACCTTTAACACATCGTCTCACCAATGCATTCTTACTCCGACCTCGTCACATATCAGTGTTTCGTCATGGACTTTCCACGTCAAGATGCAACATGTAAGGTACCCTAGATGTGTTGGTTGTTAACGTTCTGGGACACGGTGTCAAGTTATGCCTGTTACATGTCTTCTTTCAAAACACGTTTTTACATCCAGTCTCTTTCAAAATAAATGCACTAAATTGAGGTTGTTTTTCCTTCAACAACAAACGCACGTGGTTAGGTTTAGGCAACAAACGCACATGGTTAGGTTAAGTAAAAAGAACAAGGTTTGGCTTTATGATCTCATGGGACACACACGCCACTCTCCTGGGTGAAGGTCGGTGTTTGTTGGACCCATCCAACGCTCCTCCTGCCCGCCCCACTTGGACTTTCGCACTTTAACTTTCGTTCTTTTCCCACTGCTGTTCCCCTTGATGCTACCGGGCACTGTTAAACTAACAGCTCCCAGCCGCATGATAAAGCATGGCTTTTAGCGTCCCAAGTGCCGGATTTCAACGACTTCGGAGTGAGGCTGGGTTGATCTCAGCCCCAACACTGTACAATGATAGTGTTGTTTATTGATCATAAACTAATAAGATGAAATCGACTTTATACATTTTAGTCAAATTAACTCAAAAATTGTTGACTTAACATAAAAAAAAAATTATGTCAAGGTCACTGGGGATGGATATTTGTGTCCAGTGAACATATATTTTTTTTATGTCATTTTGGCAATCTGGGGCGTTTGTGTAGAGCAGGGGTAGGCAACCTGTGGCTCCGGAGCCACATGTGGCTCTTTAGCCCCTGTCCAGTGGCTCCTTGAGCCTTTGAGAAAAGAAGTCTATGGAAATTCCTTCTATGAATCCAAATGTTGCTGAACCTCGATAGCAGTGGCTGGTTAGCTATGGATGCCAAATCCATAAAAGTAAATTGAATAAAATAGAGATTGTAGTAGTGCGTGGACAGATTTGTTTGCTCTCACTGCCAGCTCTGCAAAATTTAAGTACCAGATAATTATAAATAGTGCCCTGCACAGTGGCCACCTTGTGGTAAAACATATTAATGAATGCTTATTTAGATCATAAGTATACGCTAATTTAGACTTAATAGGCTATTTACCTTGGTTATAAGGCTCAAACATGTTTTGCGGCTCCACACAGATTTTTGCAAATTATTTTTGGTCAAAAATGGCTCTATTAATGGCAAAGGTTGCAGACCCCTGGTGTAGAGTTTAATTACAATTTTTTTTTTTGTCATGGATTGATAGGGGGTTTTACAGTGTACAGGGAATTAAGGTGAGACATTACAAGTGAAAACATTTTCATGCACTAGTCAGTTTAGAGATTTTGGACAATTTTGCCTCTATAACTTTTCTTCTTTCAGACTAGTGTGGACAAAATGTCCAAAATACACATTTAGGTGCTTATTTAAATTTAAATTTTGTTCTGGAAATTTATGCAAAAACTGCATATTCAATTAGAAAATGCCTTATTTGCATATTCAAACATAACATTTCAGAAAACTTGCTAAAAAACAATTGTCTTGATGGAAGTAATCAACTGGGGAAGTTTCATGATGATACCTATTAGTAAAAAGTATTAACCTAAAGTGTCTTAAAAATGTATGGAATTTTTAAATACATATCTTTATCTTTTTTTCTCATACTCTGAGCCAAAAATCTGTAGGTTTTAACAAAGTGGTTTGTTCATATATCATTCATAGCCTGATATATGTAACATTTAATTAAAAAAAACATGGCAAAAATTGATTTTTTTTAAATGGCTGTAAAAGAGAGATATCCATAATTCATATTTTAAAACTGTTGTCTCCTAATAGGTCGACAAATTAAACAAGAATTTTGATTCTGCATTTATTCAATGTTCAGAATTTTGTTCTGGAAAAGTATGCAAATGTGTGCATATTTGATTAGATCATGCCTTATTTGCATATTTAAACATAACATTTCAGAAAACGTACTACAAAAAAAATAATTGTCTTACTTAATGTAAGTAATCAGATGGGGAAGTTTCGTGGTGATTAAAATTTGTGTCCTTTTTATGGGGAGTCTCCCCTTAACACTAAAAAATATCCACCATATTTGACAGTACACTTATCTGTGTGTCTTTCCTCCCTTCTGCCTCACTCAGGATAACGATGCCATCATGGTGGATCCACTAAATGACATCAGAATCATTGGATGTATTACTGTGGTGTTGCTGTTGGCCATATCAGTTGCTGGCATGGAATGGGAGGCCAAGGTGAGGGATAAACATCACGCTGGCTGTACGCCAATCATCTAGTCTTGTTGTAGTAAAACATCTCACTTTGATCACTTTCATTCTTTTGTCCACACAGGCACAGATTATCCTACTTATTATCCTGCTGGTGGCCATAGTGAATGTATTCGTAGGAACAGTCATTCCTGCAACCGACACTCAGAAAATCCAAGGCATCTTCAATTATGATTGTAAGACACCCTCTCCAAACATGCGCACATCCTCATTACAAACATATATTGATTTAACTCACATATTTGGAGATTCGACTCTTAACTTCTTCCTCCCTCTTCATTTTTCCTCCCTCTCTCACAGCGAAAATCTTCTTAGAGAATTTTCCTCCAGATTTTAGAGGGAAGGAGAGTTTCTTTTCAGTGTTTGCCATCTTTTTCCCTGCTGCAACTGGGATCCTAGCAGGAGCCAACATCTCTGGCGACTTGCGGGTAAGAACCATACATAGGAATCAGTACATAGGTACATAGGTTTCTAAACAAAAGGCTAGAAGTGATACAAATAAAGAAAGAAACCACTGCATGTTTGTACTTCTTATTCTTTGAGTCATTGGATAGTATCAGAAGCTGTTCAATTTATTTAATAATTCACATCTTTACAATATTATCTTTATTACAGAGACTTTTTTTTATTATAGAGAGACTTTTATTATATTTATCTTCTATCTAAAAATGTTTAACTGTAAGACCTCAATGTCAATTTTCTTTACCATGGTATTGAACATGGTATTGAATACCAATCTATACCAAGACCAGTATCATAACAACACTACTTCATAGTCACAGTTACGCCTGGAATACAACATGTTCAAACACAGATGGTTTTTTTTTAACAGGATCCTCAGGGAGCCATACCTAAAGGTACCTTACTGGCCATCATGATAACTGGAGTCACCTACCTGGGTGTGGCCCTCTGTGTCTGTAAGTACAGTAATCCATGAAATGCGACTCCAAAGAGAAACTTTACCAATTTTACATTTGTGTCTTTGTCTTTATAACACATATAAACACTGGAATATTTTCTGTGAGGTTGGTTGTTGGACTAGAAAAAAAAATCCTAAGCAATGCATCTGTTCTTCTCTCCCATTGGCCAGCTGCCTGTGTTGTCCGTGATGCCACAGGAAACCTTACTTCCATCATTAACAGTACATTTGAAACATCATGTAATGGCTCTGCAGTGGCTGCTTGTGAGCTCGGCTATGACTTCTCTTCCTGCGCAGTAGAAAAATGCAAATATGGCTTGATGAACAACAATCAGGTACACAGCCTTTTAAACTCTAATCCACACATAAAAATGAGCTCTATTTTCATCTCTCACAGTTTCCTCTTCTTACCTCACCTCTGGTTTAGGTGATGACCTTGGTTTCTGGGTATGGTCCGCTGATCATTGCTGGAACGTTCTCAGCCACCCTGTCATCAGCCCTGGCTTCTCTTGTCAGTGCTCCCAAAGTCTTCCAGGTCAGAAACCCACCACATTTTTTCTAATACAATTTGCAATGGCAATGTAAAGTTTTAGAGGAACTCTCCGCTGAGGTGTAACTAGATTGTTGCTCTTAACACCTGTGGAGGACAGATTTGTAATCAATCTCCTGGTCTTTTCTCGTAACATTTGTACTTCAGCCAGGACTAAAAGCATGCACTCCAAGATTTCATATTTCAAAGTAGACACGGTCATACTACCAAACAGGTAACACAAGGTCATGTAGTAGTACCTGCACCTAAAACTAGTGCAATGAAGAAAACGATTTTGTACAGAGCTACCGCTCAGTGGAATATGCTATCGTGTTCCCTGAAAAAAAATCTCCTAACATAGGTCATTTTAAAAACAAAAAATATTCTTTTAAGATTTTAAAGAAATAAGCAACTTGTCAGCTGTCATCTGGTTTATAGCTATTTGTCTTGCGGTCGTGTTGTTGTATTACTGTTAACCTTTCTAGGGGTGTGTTTTTTTTTTTTTTCATTATGGGTTTTCATTTATTCATTATTATTATTATTGTGTGTTTACTCTATTCTATTCTATTTTGCACCTTGGAGTGCCTTCCTTCTTGATGGAAACAGAGTTGTGGTTTTCTCTATTTCTTGTTTTGTCTGGTTATTGTATGAGTCATTATCACTGATGTTGGCGTGATTTTCCTTTGAAGTTGTGGAGGTTTGGTAAAGGTATGGCTGAATCTAGAGTATATGGTGTCCATACCAGAGCATCCTCAGGTGTCAGAGTGTGTCATCAGACCTTAGATGAAAAAGCATCAGGTCTCAGGAAAACCTCTGTCAGACTTGAGATGAAACGACTTCAGACAAAACAGCCTCAGAAAAAAAGGTCTCAGACAAAATGGCCTCAGAAAAAAAGGTGTCAGACGAAACTGCCTCAGAAAGAAAGATGTCCGATGAAATGGCCTCAGAAAAAAAGGTCTCAGATGAAACAGCCTTAGAAAAAAAAGGTCTCAGACAAAATGGCCTCAGAAAAAAAGGTCTCAGACGAAAAGGCCTCAGAACAAAAAAGGTCTCCGACGAAACGGCCTCAGAAAGAAAAAAGGTCTCAGACGAAATGGCCTCAGAAAAAAAAGGTCTCAGATGAAACAGCCTCAGACAAAATGGCCTCAGAAAAAAAGGTCTCAGACGGAACAGCCTCAGAAAAAAACAGCCTTGGATGGAACGGCCTCAAAAAAAAAAATCAGTCTCATAAAAAAACAGCTAATCTAGAGGTGCAGGGTGGGTTTAAGGGAAATCTGAATTTTGGGTGAGACGTAGGCCTGTATTTTTTGTTGTTGAACGTCCATGTACGTTGTAAGTTGGTGTTGTGTTTTTATGTATGGAACCCAAGACAAATAGTTGCTGCCGATGTAGCTACCAATGAGAATCAAAGTTAACAAATAAACAAATAGATTAACTCCTTAAAAACAAGAAAATAAATTCTAACTGAAGCTCTGTCTCTTCTCAGGCACTGTGTAAAGACAACATCTACAAGATCCTGCACTTCTTTGCCAAAGGATACGGCAAGAACAACGAGCCAATCCGTGGCTACATCCTCACATTTATTATTTCTGTTGCATTCATTCTCATTGGTCAGTTCAGTTGACATAAGATTTTAACACCTTTACAACTAAAATCATACACTTAACGTTAAAATGTATTTTAGGTTTCAAATGAACAAATATGAAACTGACAAATGTTTTCGCAATCACTCTAAGATGAATTCCTATTCCATTTCCTGTTCCTGTTTATTTGTCTCTGTAGGTGATCTCAACACCATCGCTCCTATCATCTCAAACTTCTTCCTGGCATCTTATGCTCTCATCAATTTCTCCTGCTTCCATGCATCCTACGCCAAGTCTCCAGGTGGGTCTCTGCAGACAAAGCTAGTTGCTTATAAATGAACAATTCTGCCTGAAGGCTGGAGTAATTCAACTTGTTTTCATCCACTGATATCTCAGTTTCTTTTCAGGAATAATGTATAAGTGCCCAGAATTATTTTAAAACAAGGCCACTAAAAACACCTACTGCAAGACATTCCCTAGGACAACTCGAGTTGCATCAGATAATTACAGTTCGATTTGTTTTAAATTTAGAATAAGATTTAAAGATTAAACACTAAATGTCACTCTGAATAGAATTCTTTGTCTGCACAGTCTGTCCGACAGTCTGCAGTTACTAGATATGGACTATCTCCTGTTATACTTTCCCCAGGTTGGAGACCAGCATATAAATACTACAATATGTGGCTGTCCCTGGTGGGCGCATTGCTCTGCTGTGTTGTTATGTTTGTTATCAACTGGTGGGCTGCTCTACTCACATACGGCATTGAAATCCTCCTTTACATATATGTCACTGTCAAGAAGCCAGGTAAGCTACGTGAACATGTTTGCATTTTTGGAGGTATATTCATGATCCCTGCATGAACTAACATGTTAGGATTTCTCTCCAGATGTGAACTGGGGTTCGTCCACGCAGGCGGTGACATTTGTGAGTGCAGTCAGCAACGCTCTGTCTCTGTCCGGTGTCGAGGATCACGTCAAGAACTTCAGGTAAAAATCTGCATTGCATCACTGTGGGTGCAAATATTCAAAACAATATGACTTTTAAAAAATTAAAGGAAATAAAGGGAAACCTTGTATGCTAGTTACTCACTCCGTGTTACATTTAATTTGGGAAGCAAAGTCTGTTTTGCTCACATGCCTCCATGGTGAACAAATAATCCAAAAATGGAGACAGTGCTTGATGAATTTAAGTCACAGGGATCCGTGTTTAACAACTGCAAAACTACATCAATACATCATATGTGTAACAACTGGTGAATCAGGTGAGAGTGGACTCAAACGTGTGACAGTTCAGGTAAAATAACACAGTCTTAAGTGGTCAAAAGGTTGGTTCAGTACACAGAAGGACTTTCAGTACGTGCGTTTACATGGAGCCATGTACTCCTTTTGCATTCGGGTTGGAAGCCCTACCCGAATAGAAATGCTCCTTGTAAACACCTCAACCCGAATGAAAACAGCCAACCTGAAAGAAAATCTAATCGGGTGCACAGGGGTGGAATATTCCTTTTCAGAACCCGAATGGAAGAATTTTTCTGTCTTGTATACACCTCCTACCCGATTCCAGTGATTCTATTCTTTCTGCGCATGCTCGTTTCCTTGCCCTTCTGGCGCGATGACGTATACAGCATGCATAGCAACGGGCTGAGATGGAGCAGTCGGACTCGTTGCACTCACCGGTTTCCATTTGCCACAGCACGGTCTTCTATCTCCCTTCTTCAACCTTCTACCTCCCTTCTCCTCCTCAACAAACGAAGTATTAGCAGAACAAGGTTGTTGTCGTACTGCTGCTTCGAGAATATAAGCAAAACAAGCCCGGAAAAGGCACTAAGGACGGCGTCATCAAGCATCTTGTTATCCGGAGTGAGGACTACAGTGTTTTCTTCCAGTACTCGTAACATCCACCCCGCCCCCTATCCAATCAGAAACCTTCCCTGCCCCAAACCTTGCGCAGACCCAAATAAAGGCGATTAAAATGATCTCCCATGTAAACCCTCATTCAGAAAGAATATTTCCCATGTAAACTACCTGGAAAGACTTTAAATCTGAATGGTTTCATTCAGATTTATTTCATTCTGAATGAGTAGCCATCATGTAACCGCACCCAGTGAAGGCAAACAATTCAAATAGGGATGAGGACACAGGGAAACAAAAGGTTGGACCGCTAGACACAGAGAGCTAAGATAAACTGGCATTGAGAGAAAACAAGACACACTCTAAATACTGTGGTGAGGGGAAGGATAATGAGACACAGGTCAGGCTAATCAGGGCGGGACAGACAATCAGACACAGGTGAAGTCATCAAAAGGGAGGGAAAACACACAGGGGCAGGAATTGAAGTGATCTTACACGAGAGGAGAAGTGAGTTTAAAAGTAAAACAGGAAGTAACATGAATGAATGCAATACAAAAATATAACCTAAGAAACTTAAGCTGTGACAGTATGTGTAGAAGCTATCAAACAACTCCTACTATTTAAAACTGAACTGAAAGTGAATCTCTCTTCCCTTCAAAAGCAGACTCCATTGACAAAAACAGTCATTTTGCCTCACTGAAAGTGAAAGCTGCTGGTCTGCTGCGGCCTCGATCAGTCAGGTAGTGTTATCTTGTGACTTTGGTATTTTAAAGTGTTAGTTCATATTCAGCAAAGTCACACAATAACAAACTACCAATGAAGACAGTGGTAGATCAGCAGCTTACGTGTTCAGTGAGGTAAAATTACTGATTTTGTCAAAGGAGTCTGGGTGAGAGCTTAGATTAAGTTTTACTTTTAGTTCAGTTTCAGAGAGAGTTTGTGAATGGTTGTTTTGATATAGTTTTGCCATTTTTGAACGTGGAGCCCTGTAGCGACTACTATCAATGAAAATAGCAGCTAAGAGGCTGAGTAGGCTCTTAGTAGTCCCGCAACAGTCTGGCGTCCTGTCCAGGGTGTACCCTGCCTCTTGCCCAATGTCAGCTGGGATAGGTTCCAGCACCCCCGCAACCCCCAACAGGATAAGCGGTTATGGAAAATGAATGAATGAATGAGATTACTAAAGCAAAATGAGATGAAATGGAACATTACATTATGTGATTATGTGATTACGGTCAACAGAAAATATCTGAGCCAAAACTCGCCCTCTTTGTCTAAAAAGCTGCCAAGCAAGTGACCAAAAGAATGAGTGCAGCCTAAATAAATAATAAACAATGAGAGATAATACACATTCTGACTACAACCCCTGTGACTTAAATTCATCAAGAATTTTCTCCATTTTTCTTCATTCACCATAAAGGCATGCAAGAAAAACAAAGTTTTCTTCACAAATTCAACGTAACATTTGTGATTGATGTACAATTGATAATTTGTGGGGGGTGAAGTATTCCTTTCACAGTATGACATAAACAACCTGAGACATTTAAATCAAAAGGACATTTTCAGAATCCTGATTATACCGAGGGACATTGTAACACATTTTTGTTTCTTTCTCAGGCCTCAGATCTTAACACTGACTGGTTCAGCACGGGCCAGACCAGCTCTCCTACACCTGGCTCACTCCTTCACTAAGAACTATGGACTCTGTCTCACCTGTGAAGTGTTTGTGGTAGGTTTATATCATTATCTCATTAACTGCAATTGCAAAGCAATGGATATTACCAAGGCAGCACATATCTTCTTTCCTAAATCGTTATTTAAATACCAACATTCTATTTAAATCAAGATTTGCACATCAAGTGAATTTAAATTGTGCAAAGTGCAGACTTCACATGCAATGGATATTCACGCAAATATCAAGCAGGGATGAGGGAAATGCCAACTGTCTGGATATCTAAAACTAAAGTTTAGGGTCAGTCGTGTCTTCTGAATATGAAAAGGCTGTGTTTCCGTCTCTTTCTCTCTCAAACACACCCACACAAACAGTTCCACTCACACACAGCTGTATGTTGTGATCCCTCCAGGGCCCGAGGTCAGAGGCCCTTGAAGAGATGAATGCTGGCATGGAGAAGAACCAGCTGTGGCTTAGGAAGACCAAACGCAAGGCATTTTACGCTGCTGTGGCCTGTGACAGCTTCAGGGAAGGGGCCGAGAGCCTGCTGCAGGTCAGTGTGGTCATGATTTACGACAGATTTCTTCAGCTGAGAAGAAAAAGAAAACAAATAAACTTGCTAACCCAGAAAAATCCATTGGATTAATGTGTAACCTGTGAGTTTTGATCAGAGGGAGACGGCACATTTAAACATTGCAGGAACAGGTTTTATTGACCCGTTTCACCCTCACAACAGCAAGTATCTATTGCTATGTTATGACTCTGGCCTGGATGTGTCTTAAGGATCTGCTCGGGACATTAGTGCAGGAGGAAGAAGAGGAGAGAGTTAATGAGGAGCAGGAAAACAGTCTTATGGCTCTGGCTATCGCACTTTGGAGATAAGGCCTCAGTTCATTGTCAGGATTGCTTACTTCAAACAGCATGGCAGATTAAAAGCTATAATTGATTAACACTGCATTGGATGGGTCCCTGCAGACAAAGTGAGATCTGCTGAGTGTTGTGGTCATAATTTTTTGGCGGTAAAACAGCTTCACAGCCTTCTTGTGTGGGACATTTTGAAATTTTTTGGTGTTTTTTTTTTTCAGTTAATGAAGACTCCAGGTTTTACAACCTCTGGGTTACATTTTGCCTGTGTTGCTTCAGTGAACTGATTTGGAGTTTTATCTTTATGCTGCAAGTGTCGTGCTTTTCCCCACAGGCTTCTGGTCTCGGCCGTATGAGGCCTAACACATTAATGATGGGCTTCAAGAAAAACTGGAGGACTGTGGGTGCGGAGGCAGTGCAGAGTTATGTGGGAATACTGCAGTAAGTCACAAATAAGCACACATGAAAATGATGTATCTGAAAATTAAACACAGACAGCAGATCTTTGTGTTGAACTGCAGTCCTCATTCTCTGTTCTTTTATGGCAGTGATGCGTTTGACTTTGAGTATGGGACAGTGGTTCTGAGGATAAACGAGGGACTTGATGTGTCGCACATTGTCGAAGCTGAAGGTCAGTATAAAAACTTCTTTGGGCTATGTGCTTTAATCTGCAGGAATGCCTGCATCAGTGTGACAGTTATTTTTTTTAAAGTAGTTTTCAAGCAAGCTGCACAAATGTAGCTCAGAGTGAAACACAAAAACAGGAAATAAGTGCCCTCAAAACAGCAGCATGGGATAAATAAAGCAGCTAACATTGATACAACATAGCAGAAAAATATGAAAAAAGAAATGCCATTTGTAAATGTGTTTTAAGATATTATGAAACCTGGGAGAGCAGCAGTCGACTGGAACTGACTTCAAATCGAGTTTGACTGTTTTAAACTACCTAAAGAAACAAAAGACAACTGCACTGCTGCTGCGGAACTTTTATTCTCACAACAACCCACAGTAACCGGCTATAATAAAATAACAGCAATAAGCCAGGGCACTTTGTTCTGTAGATTACAAGGTATTTTTAAAGGTCAGGTAGTTAACAGATAAGATGCTAAAATAACTGCCAGTTTACAGCTGTGCCTCTGTAGAAGTATTTACAATAACAAAGATAATCCTCTGTAATGTGAGGATTCTCACATTCTCACCGTCAGTGGGGCATCTTTCTATAGGCAACATAGGCGGCTGCCCGCCAGCGTAAAAAATAACCATAATAAAACATAAGGGAAAAATGATCCAAAGATCTAATGCTAACAGCCAGTCTGAAGAGGGCGTACCACCTCCAGTCCTTGTAATACAGTTCATCTTACAGTATGTGTTTATCAGTGAGTTATTGACACCGTCAGAACATGCTAGAGCATTAGGCGTTTTCAAACTGGACAGCTGGGAGGACTCTGAGAGAAACTGCCCACTGAGGAGCTCCCCAAAGAACTACATACCCTCAAAAGCTTTTTTTCTGTTTGCATTCACACCACCAATAAGAACACTGGAGTGATGTACGGCGGCTGGTATAACAACGCCACTTTCAGTTTGACGAGTCAAAGTCACTTTGATATTTATATTTCCACCGTTACATATATGCTCAGTAAAACCTGGACTTCACTGTCGGTCCATTTGTCCGTGTTTTCTTCTGGGGTTTTTTTGTTACGAGCTTTTGTATGTGTTTTGTGTTGTCTGTTGTTTACATGGCTAACAGGTTTTTAAAAATGGCGGTTGCTAGTGCTGCCTTGAGCCCCTTTCCCATTGCACAAAAAACCCGCTAACATCTAGCTTCTGTACGTAAGGGAAAGGTAACAATCGGCATTCATGTCTTCAAGGAAGTACAATAATTTAATAATAATACAACATCAAATTTATATAGCGCCTTTCAGGATTACAGCAGCAATCCAAAAAAAAATCCATAGGGAGGTAGAGAGGGAAATAATGCACAAGGGGCAAAGTACACTGAATTTAGAGGTTGTAGGTTGTATATAGTCTTTGCAGTGCAGACACAACAAAAAGGGGGTTCTTAGATCTATGACCAAGTTCCTCCAGTCCCAAAAACGCCTGTTGCTTGGCATAGTGGAGTGGAGAGCATTAGAGTATGAGAAAATAACAAAGGTAGGACCAAGTCATTGTTGTGCAAGTCATGAGTACCTCTCAAGTCTTTGCACTCAAGTCCCAAGCCAAATTACAGTTCGAGTTTCGAGTCCTAAACAAGTCACATTGCATGTTTCACCAAATGTAATACCATTTGAACAACAGAATAATTATATAATAAATTTACAAAAATCATTAATGCTTTTAAAAATGTGGATGTAATTGTTAAAATAAGTTTGTTGGAGGGTGTTGCATCTCTGTACTTTTCGAACTTTGCATTTTGCATACTGCAATACGTTGTCTATTGGCCACTGCATAGTTTTTGTACGTGAATGTACATGTTTTTTAATCATTAATGTAATGTTAGTTCTTAATGGTTTGCTCCTGCAACTTGATTAGATACTGTGGGACTGGTTCAAACAAAGTGGATGATCTGGGTAATTAAGTGTTGACTTGCTGGGAATGAATAGTGTTAACGTTAGTTGATTCAGGAAATAAAAGAGAAATAAACTGATTCATGGCAGACTTTTTAAATAACATACTTTTAAATCTTTGGGTTTGAGGGGAAGGTAGCAAGTATTTTCAAGTCAAAAGACTCGAGGCCAAGTCATGAAGTCATGAGTCACTGGTGCTAAAGTCCGAGTCAAGTTGCAAGTCTTTTTTGATTTTGTCAACTTGAGTATAAAGTAATTAAATTTGTGACTTGAGTGCAAACCTTTGGAGAATAAAAAGATAAAAGCCATTGGGGGACTCAAGGAAAGCTTGCCTAGAGCGTGTAATGTGCTAGGTCCGGCCCTGTTCGCAATGACTACATATTTATTATAAACTGGTTATCTAATTCTGTCTTCCAGAGGAGACGCTAAAGGCAGCAAGGGAGCAACAGGCACTGGACAATGAGATGAAGCAGAACGGAGGGAAATCAAAAGGACTGTTCAAGAAGTCCAGGAAATCCTCTAAGCAAGTGCTCACGACCAGAGGTACCGCTCTCTTTTGATGTTACTTCTCTCTGTTCAAATCTTACCTGACATTTCAGAGCGGCTTCGATCTAAGCTATGTAAAGCAAAGGTTGCATCAAAAGTCGACTGTGATCTTTAAATATGTGGGGAGAGGAGTTATCGTTCTCACTCTCCTCCGCTGAGATAACATACATTTAACAAAAGAAGTTCCATGGCACACATATTTTTTTGTTTTTTGGAAACTTCTTCACACTCCCATTGAGATATAATTGAATCAAGCGCCCCCACTAAAGATGTCTCTGAGGGTGTAATCCAATAATATGGTCCCTTTCGTTCCAGTTTGGAGAGCATCCCTTAAGAGCAGCAGCCCTTTAACCCAGACGGCAGAGGGTGCTTTCAGCCACTCGCTCGATCCGTCTCTGTCTCTACATCGCACACACACATACACACACCACTGAGCTGCGTCCTGGCAAGACTGCGATGGTCGTTAGTATGCGATCTGGATCCCACTCATTGGAACATTAAACCTGAGAGATGGCTGTTCCCACCGATGTAGACTCAGCTCTTAATGTTGATTTGCGCTAGTTTTCCTGTCCAACTTAACTCTCCATGCTCCATCAATGAATTAGATTCCCTCCTACTGTTCCTCTCCCTCATCCCCTTCTCATTTCTCGCATCTTTTTCTCTCCCTCTCTCAGTGTCGGTGTGCGGCCCTCCGCCCCCGCAGGTTGCTAAAATGAATGAGAAGCTGTTGGAGGCCAGTGCTCAGTTCGAGAAGAAACAGCCTAAAGGCACCATTGATGTGTGGTGGCTGTTTGACGATGGAGGTAGGTGTTGGTTCCCCGAGGCAGCATCCTCTTATGTATCTCGCCATAAAGACTGTAACAGCTACGTGCACAGAGACACATCACGTCCTCCTTGATACTAATGCAGACAACCTGCAGATTGAAGAAACTGATTGAGTGGAATAAATAGCGCCTGAACAATAAAACTAAGAAAGGAAAAGGTTTTAGTGCAAGCACATAACAATCAACACTTAACAGTCCTTTTAAAGCATAATCAGGACATTTGGAATCAAGTCTCCTGATGTGTTACCTGACAATACTAATACCGGCATTTGGCCAGGGAACCATAGTCAGTTTTTAAATATAAAAAAATGATGATACCACCATTTAAAAAGTGCAGTCAATGCGATTAGTGGGTCCACAACTTAATGAGTCTCTATGTTGGAAAAAACAGATTAGCACAGTTACAACTACAATTGCAAGAAGTGTTGGTATTTTGGGAAAAGTCTGACCTATGATAAAGGTCGCCACTCTTCTATGCTAGTCTTTGGTTTATCCATTGATATATTACTGTAACTTAGTCTTGGCGAGTACTTGCTTCTATCTTTTGATTAAAACCATACTCATTCTTCTCAACCGTTGTTTCTCCAGTTAGGCATCATCATTGTCTATCAAATCAAGCAACTACAGATTGCTCTATCTGTACACTTCCCCAAACAGGACCCTTCCCTCATATTTTCATTAGCACTATTCCTACAATCACCAATCCACAATTATTCTACCTCAAATAACCAGTGGTGGATGAAGTACCTGAAAGCTATACTTGAGTAAAAGTATAGATTTCTTACCAGAAAATTCTTTGGTAGAAGTTAAAGTCACCTATAAGAACATCACTTTCGTAAAAGTCTTTAAGTATCTGATATTTACTGAACCAAAGTATCAAAAGTCATTTTATGATATTAAATGTACTTAAGTACTGAAAATACAAGTAAAAGTAAATGCTGGTTTTAAAAAAGCAAGCAGTCAGAATAATGAGGATCATGAAGTTTTTTTCTTCTTAACCGCCTTAAAAATGGAGCGTACATTACATTTGAAGAAAAACAAGGTCGTCTTCACAACTTAAAGGATATAAAGAAAACCTTTGACCTACAGGGCTGACACATTGCAGAGTCACTGTCACAAATCTTTATCTCCTTAAATCATTACTTGCCCTCTCTGCTGTGGGACGCCATTTCCTCTCGGTCCCATTGTCAAGTGGAATGTAGTAGCTAGCATATAGCATAGCATCTAATCTGACATGCAGCCTGAGCTTGACTGGAAGTCCAAACTTAACTACAGCTTTGAGAGCTCATGTTTACACTCGCCCTTATATGATTAACCAAAGTCTAACTTGCAAGCTAGGACCGCTGATTTGCCAGACCTTCAAATTTTATTTTGAAGTAATGAAAATGCTGAGGACATAGAAATACAAACTGGAGCAAAATACTTAAAAGCATACATTTGATATAGGAAATGTACTGGAGTAAAGTGAAAGTTGACAAAAATATAAATACTCAAATAAAGTGGAGGTACTCCCAAATCATCCTCAATTCTCAAGTTATTCTCAAGTATTTGTTATACTACACCACTAGAAATAACCATAAACTCAGGCCTCCTATCTGTCGAACCTCTCAGTCGCAGTCTGGTTTAATTTACAGCGGTTCAATGATACAAAAAACTTAACCATCTCATATTTCAAAATTAGCACCTGCACAATTTAAGAAAGCTGTTAAAGGTTTGTTTTTACCTCCATGTGTTATATTATGGATTATCTGTGATAACTGCCCACTAATAATTAATGATTTTAATTTTATGTTTTAATTTGGGTACCTGCATATATGGATGTCTGCTACTGTGTGCAATCTTATCTTTTATCTCCCTTTACTATCCTTGTATAGCCTGAAGAGTGCTTTGATCAAGCCCACCTTCCCATCACATTTATGTTGCTTATGTACCCTTTTTGCACATGTGTAAACAAATAAAGTAAACTATATTGCCTGATCTGGATAATGACCAAAATGTAATCAGCTGTGTCCTGGCCAAAGCTTGAAAGAGAGTAATAAGAGTTTGAGACCTCCTGATGACACTCAGATAAACTGATAAGCTCCACAACATAACCGCCTTGGCAAATTTGAAAAACCAAGATACATCTTTTGTACAGTAATACAAGCTCGATTCATTGATTTATTCTATAAAATAAAATGCTTTTCATCCCTCTCAGGTCTTACCTTGCTGCTCCCCTACATCCTCACCACCAGGAAGAAGTGGAAGGACTGTAAATTAAGGATCTTCATCGCGGGGCAGCCTGGACGCGCTGATCTGGATAAAGAGGAGTGAGTTTTTAAAAATAAATAAATAATGTTTTAATATTATTTTTAGCTTAATGGGTGGAAGATGGATTGCGGAAATGAATTGGTAAAATCCAGATATGAAAATTCATGAGCCAACAACATCCATTTATTTACAGGAGATGTTATTTGGCATTAACTGAAAACTATTACCAACATTAATATAAAAGTTAATCAGTGTGTAATAATCCGTCTTGCAGGATGAAGTCTCTGTTGCACAAATTCAGGATTAACTGCACTGACATCAACGTCATTGATGACATCCATATCCCTCCCAGGACTAACAGGTAATTGCATTTCTGCAGTTATAAAAGTGACAGCAGACCAGATGGTACTACAGTCATAGTAAAATGTAATCACCTCATAGTATCTGCATATTATACAATAAAAAAAGAGTGAGCTCATGTTCTTATTTGCTGTCCTCCAGCCTGAAGAAGTTAGAGGACATGATTGAGCCTTTCTGTCTGCATGAGGGGTCTAAAGACGCTGCTCAGGCTGAAGCCATGCGGAAAGCGCACCCCTGGAAAATCACTGATGAAGAGCTGAGCTCCTTTGAGGAGAAGGTAAAACGACTGACTCCAAGATACCTTTCTCTTACATGTAGTGCTATTCACAGTCACATTCACAGATTGTTTTGGCGTGAATGTTGACCTTGTTGTGAGCAGTTTCATGTAGGAACTATTTTCTTTCTACCGAACTACACCTGCTAACTGTATCACTCAGCAAAAGGAAGCATGCATCTACTGCTCGCCTAGCTAGCTAACATTGCAGCTCAGCCAAGGAGCCCACCATTAGTATTTACATCTCACACTGTCCACTGAACCTCTCGTTCATGACAAGCAGCAGCTTCCTGGGCTAAAAACTGAAGCCAATGTGGAAATGCCAATACTGCAGTTCCTCAAATGGCCACTTGAGGCTGGCTCCACAAGCCAATCCCCATAGACCCCTATGTTAAAATGTCCCAATTTACAGCAAAAATAAATTGTTTAAATGTGGTACGAAAATGTGGTTTTGGTCTCTATAATTTTCCCATTTACCCACATGTTTACATTGTATTAAGGCTTAAAGTTATGCATAATTAGGGGGTTCTACCACTTTGAGTAACAGGCTGTTTGCAGTTCTTAGTCAGATCCACCCCTCGCTCCTCCAAAGCTCCACCGTCTCATCCAAATATGGTCACTTTTGGCTCCAAAAAACCGAGATGGCGACGACCAAAATGCCTAACTCCCTAAGTCCACAAACTAATGGGTGACGTCACAGTAGCTATGGCCATCGTTTTTCACAGTCTATGGCCCATAAGTAGATGCACGCTTCCTTCTGTGTGGTGATACAGTTAGCAGGTGTAGTTTGGTAGAAAGAAAATATCTCCTACATTTAATGGCTCACAACAAGTTCTGCGGATTATCTTAAGTAACTGGGTCATGATTTCTGGAAAGAGATATTGCTGTTGAGTTTTTCAAAAGTAGTTTTTGGTGCTTTGAGCACCACAAGCCGAGTGCCATCTAATTCCATTACATTTGAGCAAAGGCAGACATCTCTACGGCCAATATCCGCAACATTCGGCAACTCACACCAAAACTATCTAGATTAATAAATACCACTACAGGTAAAAGGGAAAATCTGAACTTTTGATTTTCAGGTGTGCTGTCCCTTTAAGACTTTCTATACAGTATAGACTTATTTAGTTTGGTTTGGATGGGGGTGTGTTAAACAGCAAAATCAGGTTAGAATTCACCATTAAAAGTAACTGCTGCTGTTTTACAGACCAACCTCCAGGTACGACTGAATGAGCTGCTTCAGGAAAATTCCAAATCAGCTAATCTGATCATTGTGTAAGTACAACCAGCTGCTGCCTGAATAACATTGACCTGCCAAGCTTGGAGGAAACTGCCTAACATTACTCTGTGTATCCTCACCCCCCTCTGCAGGAGCATGCCCATTGCCCGTAAGGGGTCTGTGTCTGATTTCCTTTACATGGCCTGGCTGGATGCTCTGACAAAGGACCTTCCACCCACCCTACTCATTAGAGGCAACCACAAGAGTGTGCTTACTTTCTACTCTTGAGCATACTGTGGGCAGCTATAAAGGATATAAATGGCAGTACCATAATGTTCATAAAGCGCACCAGAACCTCGAATGATGTTATTCAGTCCTCCAGACCAGCACCACAGTGTAACACAAACATGTTTTAGTTAAGTCATGATGAGAGCATTTATACTCACAAGTGCTACAATAAAAAACTAAAGGAAATACCCAAAAGACACACAGAAATGTGGTCAGCAGAAGAAAGGCATAATAATGGTTTTCATTTTTGGTCACAGCTAAACCTTGTTAACATTTTACCATAAGCTGTTTTTATCCCTTGGTCTGTGCCATTTCATGACAGCTTGTGGCGAGCTGTGATCTGGAAAAGAATTACTTGCACTGTGTGAAGTTGCAGCCAGCTTGCCAGCAAGGGAACCTCACATTTTACTACACTGTACAGCGACCAGTATAAATCTTTAACTGCTGTGCTGCACTCAGGGTTTCTATGAATGCTGCCAGTCAGGATCAAGACTAGCCTCAATAAAGAAAAATGTATTTCTGACATTGAAATTGAAAATGTCATCAAGTCTGAATGTGAATTTAGGAGCATATGCAAAGTTTAAGCTCTTTGCAACAGTGGCAAAGGAGGCACAAAATGATATAATACTCTCAGATATTATTATATACACAAAACAAACAAAAAGCTCACATTTTGGGGTTAAAAAACAAATCACACGTCTGCCCAACTCAGATCAGCCCAAAGAACAAAAACAGAAACACAAGGCTGCTTTCAATGGTCACACTGAGTGACTGTGTCGTCTGTCATTGTAAAATAAATGTATATAGTAGATGTCTGAATTCACTAGTGGATATTTTTTGAGCAAAAAAAGCCCCTTTCTGTCATGAATGATTAACAGCATCTGTTCTTTTAAACTGTGTAGAAAAGGTTTGATTCTTTTTTTTTTGAGCATTCCTTGATATTCACTGAGTGTAAAATACACTGCTATCATGAAGCTGTTTACCTGTTCCACATTATACTGTTGAAATATGTCTAATGTTACTATCACAGCACAACTTTTTGTTTAAGGAAATTTTAGTGAAATAAAAGATTTTAATGTCAATTCCTCTGTATATTTTAAGCTATTGACAGTCTTTCTATTTAAATTTATAACTGTGATTACTTTGAGATGAATGATGAATAAAATTTCGAGCTGTTCTTACTCTTGTCTCTGTCGTTTATTATATGATTAGATGAGATGACGTCAGATCCTGCTTACGTTTGTTGATGTACATTAGCGTCACTATTTAAATTTCGAGAAACTATACTTACATTAACTATATAATTATAGCCCATTTTTTAAATTTAGGTTATGATTGTTGTTAAAACTTAACAAACTGGGGTTTTATATGCAAAATACAAGTATAAAGTCTGTGCATTTTGACAAGGCCGTAGCCAAGGAGCCAACATTGAGAGAGACAAAATCTGCCAGGAGGTCTGGGGGTCAGGAAAAAAATTAAAAATTTGAAAACTAATGCAGTAAATGAACACCCAGAACTGCAGTACATTGCAGTATGAGAACTCATAGTAATAAAAATGGCAATTTGTCAAGTTTATTTATAATTCTGATGACATTTACTAATGATTATTTTGGACAGTGCTGCGTGGTTGCGTTATATCATTACTACCTTGCATTTGTAAGATGCAAGGCTTTGCAAGCTCAGCTATAACTACAAAATATGTCATAATCCCCCTCTTTTTCATAGACGCAGTGTCTGCACCATGTCTGGTGTGGTCAAATAGACTGGAAACAAATAACATAAAATGCAAAAAAATATAAAAGCGTTAGAGGTCATATGTGCAGGTCTTGAATATCAGCACTGAAGGTGAGTCCTAACATTCCTTATAGTAATGCTGATGTATTCCCAATGGGGGGCAGCATTGGACATCAGATCTTACATGACTGTGACTGCTGAATCTCAAGTGATAACAGTTTGAGAAACTCATTAAAAATGAGGCTACTGCACATTCCAATGGTTTTTGCACGCCATTAGTCAATATAATTATTAGACTGTGATTACATAATGAGCCATGCGAGTTGTTTTTGAGTGACTTTTGAATATTCATTCTATTTTATTATCTGATAATGAATATTGAGTACAACCCATCTAATTTATGAGAGCTGCTGTACCCTGCTGGTGTAGATTTGTCACTGACATGAATTGGAAAAATATTTGGAATCTCCTCACTAATAAAGTAAGGGAAGTTTCGTTGAAAATCATACATACTGGTAGATATTATTCTACAAGACATTCTCTTCTTAGGTTTAAGAAAGACATTTGTGTTAACTGTTAAATGTGAAAATGTGGCAATGTCCCTACTCAAACAAGTACTGGGAAGAGGTATCCCAGTATATTGTTGATAACATTGAGTCTGAATTTCCTCTTTACTGAGAAAATATACTGTTTGGTATCTACAATAAAAAATATATATATTTTTTAAAAGGAACTAATATATATATATTTTAGCAAAGTATTCAGCCATTCCAAAGCTGTATTTATAGAATTTGAGAATGAAACAACACAGCAAATGAAGACAACTTTTAATTCCTAAAATAAGAAAGCTGCAAAAGCCATTTATTTGTGCTCCTGGTTCAATGTTTTCATTTAAGATTCCTCCTGGCTCTGATGTTGTTTTGTTTGTATTATGTAGGCATGATTTCATCCAAAAGTTAGGCCTACTATATGGTTTAGCTAGACCGGGGTTTCAAACTCATTTTAGTTCATGGGCCAGGCCAGTAAAACGACTGCATAATAACCTATAAACAACAACAACAACAACAATCTTCCACATTCAGTCAGTCTGCTACTCACTTTCATTACATGTGACTTTTTTCATAATTTTCCACTAAAGTGAAGCTGTTGAAGCAGCAGGTTAAGTTATCCCCTGCCTTACAGTACAAAGTTTTGTCAGTGCCTCAGCAGCAGGGTTCTGCTAATACAGTTTTAAGATATAAGTCTGATACAGATTATTTTGCACTTTAGATGCTGGTGTACAATATTTTACGCAATGTTCAATATCTGCAAACATGACCACAGTAAGTATGCATTGTTATTTCAGAGAGCTGTATTCTGGTCAGCATTTTACATGAAGTATCTACTCACTGTTTAACTTGCTCGGCCTTCACATGTGCATCAGCATGAGGTGTCCAAAGTCATCTAGTGGGCCAGATTGGACCCTTTGGCACTCTGGCCCCAGGGCCATATGTTTGACACCCCTGAACTAGACCTGCACACGCATACATTAAAAACACTTTAAGACATAATGGGTTGTATGTTGATATATCCAAGAAAAGATAAAATAAATGTCTATGATTTCTATGCACACAAACCTATCTGTATTCCTATCCAAGTAAATGTTTTTGTTTCACATTAGAGTCTGTCATAGTCTGGTGAGGAATGCGGAGCTGCGTGTCAGCAGCAGCAGCAGGAGGGGGAGGAGGAGGAGGAGGAGGAAGTGCTGCAGGCAGCTGATAGGACGTTTGCTAGCTGTTAGCCTGCAGACGACGTTAGCGAACAATATGACACCAACGTCGCTCGGGCTAAGGACGTTTCAGCTAAAATGCTTTGCGAGTTTTAACACTACTCCCCGTGTCTTAGGAAGGGCAGTTCATATTCAGACGCTCACTCTAAACAAAGGCCAGCAAGACATTAGGACGGGTAACGTTTCTATTTGCAACATGTCAAGTGGATATTGACGTTAGCTTTGCTAGCTCGCCTAGCATCCTGTTACTGCTGTGACTTTAGCATGTTTTATTATTTATTGTGTGCTGAACGCCACCAACACTACACCACCAACACTACCTCTGCTTTATTCTCACACAATGCGTAAGTAAAATGGGGCTTATTGTTACACAGATATTGTATTGTGCTTTTGTTACGTACATTTTAAATGTAGGTTTCGGTGTTTGTTATAGGAGCTCTCGCGAGAACTTGTTTGTGCGACGCAATGTGGTGACGCCAGCGTTGCCATAGTTACAGAGCACACTTACTTCCTTGCCGATTTACTTATTACAATTTATTATCTCAGTGCAGTTAATGTAGCAGTTCTGTAGCAGGTTATATAAGCTATTAGACTTACTATCACTTTGTATTGTGGTGTATAATACTTTAACTGTTCAAAGTAACGTGATTTAGGGGCGGGGCTAATTTGGCGCAACTTGCAGCGCGGGAAATTCGTTTTTAAATAGCAAGAGCGCCAAGAAACTGGAGCAGAAGCGTCAGAGGATTTTAGCTGTGCAGTAGTGTCTCCAATAGTTAGCTTTTAGTTCGTAAAAATCGTTTTTTAACTGTGCAAACTCTGCCAACATGCCTGTCCTGGAATTCACAGACGCATCTGCAATCTCTCCATCAAAGAGAGCAAGGACAGAGACAAAGCCTGCAGAAGACAGACCTGTCCTCAGGTTTGCTAAACTGTCTGAGCATGCCACGACACCTACCAGAGGATCCACTAAAGCAGCGGGATATGATTTGTACAGGTTGGTTATAACGTTACTTTGAATTAAAATGGTTAAAAGTATGTTTTGGGTTCACTAATAACTTAATCGTAGCAGCGTGTGCACGGTTTTAAATACTGTGACCACAAACATAAGTTTTAACAAGTCGATATAACGTTACAGTATGTGTGTTTGTAAAATCAAACTGTAAAGTCCAGGTGAAATGTTTGAACTCTTAGCTTGTGTTCCTACAGAGGTTGAATGTACTTGCTAAATGTTGCCCTGTATAAAGGTATCTGTTAAATGAATAGACAACCAGCTAAACATGCTTCTCTGAATTTAAACAGTGCATATGATTACACCATTGGTCCTATGGACAAGGCCGTTGTGAAGACAGACATCCAGATTGCAGTCCCACATGGCTGCTACGGAAGAGTTGGTGAGTGTTTTGCATACTGATGCAACTCTAGCATTACAGGTTTTTCCTGTTTGGTTCAGTGCATGCAAATTAAAACTAGATTATGTTACACAAGTTGCAGAACAGCAGGTCAAAACTGTCTCTTCCCATGTTTATTCTTCCTTCTCAGCACCAAGATCTGGACTGGCAGCAAAACACTTCATTGATGTTGGTGGTGAGTCTTGGCCCATGTGACCTACTTATGACATGTGCAGATAATGTGTCAACCTTTGTCATGTCTCTAACGTCTCTGTATGTCCTCAGCTGGGGTTGTAGATGAAGACTACAGAGGGAATGTGGGAGTTGTGCTCTTCAACTTCAGCAAGGAGACATTTGATGGTGAGTTGTGGCATCAGTGAAATATATCATCACCTTTTTATATTAAAGGTACCAAGAATACCCATAGATTTTACTAGTAGGGTCAAAGCCATAATGTCCATGCTTCTATTTGAACTTTTTCTGGAGGAGCATGATGATATAAGGCTAGAGTGAAAACGTTCAATTTAATGATAATGAGAGGGTGTCATCATTCATGAGATTGTTTAAATCTGCCTCACGTCCCTTTGAGTTATGACAATCAACTGTCTGCTGACGAATATCACCAAAAATCTGACATGTACATATGAGGTCATATCTGATACAAAAATTGCATACATACTGACATTGCCTTCCTTTTACATTTTCTTGATTTAAGAGAACATAAAACTGGTTAAAAGTAATCTGAAAATATTTTTTAAAATGTTCAAACCTGTAGTTTATTTTTTTTAAGCTCTATATTAAGTTCAACTTGTTGAAATATTTTGCTGTCCATATTTATTTAGAGTTTGCTGCATCCTGCAAAGATGACATGAAAGTAGTTTGTACAGATCTAAAGATGAAGCAAATATGTGCAGTTTCCAAATGATTGTCTAATCTCCTTCTGTTCCTCTTCGCAGTGAAAAAGGGCGACAGAGTTGCGCAGCTGGTGTGTGAGAGAATCTGTTACCCAGAACTGGAGGAGCAAAAGGTAAACTGCGAGTTCAGAAGCTGAAACACACACGTATACACTCTATTGCCAGTTTATTAGGTACATTAGGCTAAAACTAATGCAGACTAATACAACAACCCTGTAGTAAATCCTACCTTTGCGAAGGTTACAATGTTCAGTTTTTGTTGAAACTGTTTTTAAAGAGGTTTTTATTCAACTGTAAGAAGTGTTTCTATTTAGTATATCCCTTTTTATATCAACGAAGATAGGTTAAAAAAACAGGAATACCTCTGCAATGCAACA